GGGCGCGCAGATGGTGGGTGGCGTGGCGCCGTCCTCTCCTCCAGCTAGTCCTCCAGGTGAGCGGACCTGGCCACCGCTTTGGGGCTTGACGATTCAGGGAAACCTGCGCCTGGACCCGGAGGAAGTAGGAAGGAGGGGGGAGTGAGGAGTCTGTGGACCCCGCCTCACTCCCCCATCCTGTCCCTAGCACGATGGCCAGCCCTATTGCCACAAGCCCTGCTATGGAATACTTTTCGGACCCAAGGGTGAGTGTGGTCAGAGGGTCCGGGATGCAGGGGCCCTCCTCCCCACCCCTCCCCACCACCCTTGCCTCCTGTCTCTGCAGGAGTGAACACCGGGGCCGTGGGCAGCTACATCTATGACAAGGACCCCGAGGGCAAAGTCCAGCCCTAGGCCTCCGGGCCCCCCTGCGGGGCATGGGCCTATCCACGCAGGCCCCTGGCCCAGTGCCCACTGCTTGGCTATGTCGGGAGAGTGACCACTGCCCAGTCCTGCCTCGGCACCTGCGTGTCCAGAGCCTGAGTGTTGGGGGCCGAGGCAGCCACGCTGGGCAGCCTCCAGAGGCCCGTCCACCCATTTTCTGTGGGTGTCCCCGGCCACCCTTACCCTCTTTTTGTGTCCTCCTGGCCCTACGTGTCTCCATGCCTGTGTCTGGTGGCCCCACATGCCCACGGTGGGTCTTCCTGAGGTGGCCTTCCCACTCCCCCGCTCATGCTGCCCCTCGCCTGCCCCACAATGTTATTTATGCTCCCGTCACCAGTAACAGCCGCAGCACGGCCTTCACAGTGTTCCAGCGGCTTAGGGCATCCCCACCAGGAGCCCTCTGCCATCTCCCACCCAGCCTCGCACGCACCCGCCCACCGCCCTCACGACCACTGCCGGAGTTTTGTTACCAATAAAAGATTCTGAGGATCACACAACCCAGCACCGTCTGTGACTGGGATGCTCATGAATCCAGCATGGTGTCCCTTTGTGCCATCCACAAATCCTTGGGCCTGGCTTCTGGTGGCAGTGGGGTGCCACCTGGTCCCAAGGGTGATGGCTGTAGGTGGGAGGGTGGGTGGCAGAGAAGCTCTGGTTTGGGCTGTGGTGGCAACACTGAGGTGGGTAGGCCCCTGAGGTGCTCCTGGTCCCCAGATCTGCCAACAAGTGGGCACTAAAACCAGGAGATGCCAGGATCTATCAGCCCCCAAGGGAGGGGTCAGGCTTGGGAGAGAGCAGGGGTCATGTCTCGTGGAGGCAGAGGACAGGTGACCAGAAGAGGGTTCCTCTGCAGGGGGAAGAGCAGGTGAAGGGTGGGCAGGGACAAGGTGGGTCTTCAGCCCTGGAGGAGCCTGGAAGTACAGAGGGTTTGGGTGGGGAGAGGGGTACTGTAGGACTGAGAGTGGGTGTGGTTGGCTTGACTCGGCCTCGGTGGGGAGGCCCAGGGACAGAATGTGGGCAGTCTGAAGGAGGGGCCTAGGGGCCTGGGTGCTCCTGTGCGACCAGCATGCCTGCAGCTGGGTTTGCAATGTTAGTGGACCCACCTCTGGCCTCCCCAGGAGCCCTCAGCAGCTCGGGGAAGACCCTGGCTCGGTGTCCGCCTTCTCTTTAACTGCCGCTCCTGGGAAGCCCACCAGAGGGCGCCCCTTCTCTCCCACTCTGGGCGCTGAGGCAGAACCCTGCTGCCCTCCCCTCCACCGCTCAGCCCCTCCCCTGGCCTGCTTCCAGCACCATACCCCCAGACGCCTCTCCCTCCCTGGAGCCACGGTCATCCGGGCCTGGTCACTTCTGGGCCGTTGCGCTCAGCACTGTAGGCGGCCGTCTCCCCATGTGCCCTCTTCTCCAAGGCCAGCTCTGGGCACCCCAGCACTTGGCACAGGCCACTCTGCGGCCCACTGTCCAGTACACGGGCTCAGACGTAGCTGAGCCCGGAGGCCGGGCCCATTGTCCTTCGAGCAGCCATCGGTGTCCCTGGGGTGGAGCGGCCGGCTCCGGTGTCTGGTGTCAGGTGTCTGCAGTGCCAGGGCACCCTCCTCCTGGCCAGTCCAGGTGCCCAGCGTGGGCCGCAGCAGCGTCTCCCCGCACCTGGCTGGCACCAGGTGTGCAGCCAGGATGTGCAGGGTGGGTTGGCCTGCACTGGGTGTGGGAGGTGCATGGAGCAGGTACCCCAGGGGCGCCCTGTTTCCACCCTAGGCAGAGGGGAGGTTCGGGCAAGTGCGATGTGCGCTCAGAGGTGGGGCTGGGACATCTCCCCCTCCTCACCCCGTCCCGGCCTTCCTGCCGCCAGGCCAAGGCTCTATTATTCGGGGGTGTTTGGGGAAAAATTCAGACTTCCCTGAGCACCCCTAGGCCCACCCTCGCTGGGGGCTCACGGTGTCAGATGGGAAATTCCTGCCTTCCCGGCGGTGGGGGAGTGCTGAGAGCACAGCCGGGGCCCTCCTTCGGGAGGCTCCAGTGACAGCTACGTGGAGGGAGACGCGATTTCCCGCAAAACCCGGAGAGGGGCGGTGCCTATTCTTGTATGAAGGGTCGCCAGGCGGCAGGGGTGAGGGGTGTCTGTGTCGCCTCGAGGGAGAATCGCCCGGGCCCAGCCTGGGACGAAGTGCCCCCCGCCCCCACCCCTTCGTTTCCTGCAGGCTGAGTGTGCCGCGCCTCTGTGTTTGTTTCCGAAGGGTTGTCATGGAAACCGGGGCGGAGTCGCTACTGCTGGTCTCTGCGCGGTCGCTGGGTGCCGCCGGTGGGAGCCGCGGTTGGCCCTACGCTGCCGGGGCTCCTTCGGTGACACCAGCTCCCGGAAGCTTCCCCCCAAGCCAGGTGTTTCCTCGGGCGCCCCATCAAGGTGCAGGGGAGGAGGGAATGGGCGGCCTGGTATCCATGTGTGCCGCCTTCTCCACC